ACAGAGTAAAACTCCCTCTACTCTTTTTAACTGTAAGTAAATCTTTTTCTGCACTGTCCCCATAAAACATTCCCAACACAGGGACAGTGTAAGGTTAAATACAGAGTAAATCTCCCTTTCTTCTTTCAAGCCAGAAGTAAACTAAAGATAAAGCTTTCTTTAAACTGTCCTGAGTAGACATTCCCAGCTTGGGTTTAGATACAGCTTGGGTTTAGACATGGAGTAATGGAGTGGGACCATTTTGAGGTCTGATCTGTTTCTAGCCTAATAGAAAAGAAACTGACAGCAATCAGAGTGATTGAACATAGAGTTTTAATTGAGATATGCTGTTGTTAAACACATGCTAACTGCCTGAGAACTGAATCAAATGAAATTACATCGCTTTCTTTGATGACATGCATATTGGAGTAAATATATTTAAATCCTGATATATAAAATATTTTAACAAATACACTGTCACAGCAGGGTTTTTCAAAAGTAATTGCATGACATAGATAAACAAAGTCCATGAGTCCCATGTCTATTTCCCTGCATTTTCAGGAGGCGTCTTTCATTAAAAATTAAACCAAACTGCTACATTTCCCTTCCTGAATGATATTTCTCTTATCAACAGAGATATCCTCAGCAAAGGTATTCTACTGGCTTTGATACTCTAACCTTTGCCCATCCCTTCCAACTCTAACCCCAATTTACAGTTTCTCAGATGTTTATCCAAACCCATCTACTTCTGCATTTAAAAATAGACGAAGATTCTGCTTGTAACTCTCCAAACCTGGGCTTCAACATTTACCCATATTAAATCAGTAGTTCTCTTCAGAAGTGGAATTTTCACAATTCCCTCTCTTTGTTACTCATTCAGCTGTTGCTAATGATTTCTGCACTTGTAATCTTTGGTTGCGAAGTTTTATTGCTTTATCACCTATGACTTTAGTTCTGTTTTAAGAATCTAAACATTGTCTATGAACGACTGTTGAAATTTAAAAAAAAACTACAGGAACCAAACTGAAAATATGCCTGTCTTTGATCTGTCAATTGCTTTTAGTTTTCAATTTCCCAAAGTTTTGCCCTGTCATAGATGCATTTCTTTAATCCAAATTTATTCCTCAGATCAAACTACCTCCCAATTCATTATTTTTTTGTTCATTGGAATTTCACTGCTATCTTAAAAATTAACACGGAGTTTTTTTTTGACTGAGTTTGTACTTGCATTGAGGTATGTCCATCAAACAGTACAGGCAGACCTAGGTTCCATCCTTGACTCCACTCACAAGTCAATTTGTACACAACTTAGAACACAATGCATAACAATGGTGATGGCTAGCACGAGGGGACATAGCTTTAAATTGAGGGGTGATAGATATAAGACAGATGTCAGAGGTAGGTTCTTTACTCAGAGAGTAGTAAGGGCATGGAATGCCCTGCCTGCAAAAATAGTAGACTCGCCCACTTTAAGGGCATTTAAATGGTCATTGGATAAACATATGGATGATAATGGAATAGTTTAGGTTAGATGGGCTTCAGATTGGTTTCACAGGTCGGCGCAACATCGAGGGCTGAAGGGCCTGTACTGCGCTGTAATGTTCTATGTTCTAATGTAAAATAGCTGTTTGTAATTATGAGGAAACATTCAAATGTTGGATCTTTAAAATTATTATTAATACACCCTGTATGGGATTGCATTCGTGAATACAAGGATTTCATATGTTGGACTTTCATAAATTAGGGACTCCTGTACACTGCATTGTGATGAAAGGTGTATAGTTTATAATATCCTTTTTGGAATTTGAATTTCAAAATAAATGCAAATAAGTGTTGGTTACTTCAATTAAGTGTTTATCTTACCATTACCTGGGATCATAATAGCATACAACGTACATATAGGGGAAGTAAAGATGGTCGTAACTACTGCGTAAGGGCTTCGGGTCTGATGAGCAATCAAGATGCACTGGAAGGTTAAAACATCAATCAGGATTGGCGCACCTGAATACCATAGTGTCCCCTGTTGGGAAGTGTCTATGTGTGTACATGGAAAAGGATTATGCTGGCAATGATGGTGAATAAAATACTGCTTCTTTTACACACAAAGTGTTAGTTCCTGTTAGAAAAAGTGTACTTGTTTGAAGTTGGATTTTCAATAGTAACATTAATAAAAACAAAGTACCAATCCAGGATGAATATTGACCAATAACATACACCTGTGCTTGTCAAAGCTAATTCCACGGCTTGACAAAGTCATTGCTTAGCACCAGCAGCAAGTTTCAAATCACAACAGTAACTGACTGTGAAGGTAGTTCATTAACTATTAAATACTTTGAGATGTCCAGTGGTTGTGAAATTGCTATATAATTGCAAATGCTTCAACATAAATGCTTTATTTTGTACAGAAAACAATGTGTTGGGGAGAGTCAGAGGGCATTTCATAACATGGCAGAGAAGCTTAGAAGCAAAATATTTGAGAAATCCTGCTCTAGCCCATCCCATTAAACACTCCCAGGGCAGGTAAAGTATATGCTATTTACAGAGTAAATCACTTTCTATTGTGTCCATCAAATACTCCCAGGGCAGGCACAATATGTTATATATAAAGCTGTTTCTACTCTGTCCCATCAAAGGTTTCCAGGGTAGGCACAATATATGGCATATATAAATTTCCTTCCACAATGTTCTATCAAACACTACCAGAACAGGTACAGCACAGGTTGGATAAGGAGTAAAACTGCACCTATTCTACACCTTTTTAAACAATTTATTAAAACATCTGGCTGTCACTGGCAAAACCAGCATTAATAGTCTGTTCCTAGTTGCCTTGGAGTACTGGCAGCCTCCAACTGCCCCAACCATTTACGCAACCCAATTGTTTGGAAACAAATATTATCCGAATTGTGACCCGTGCGGAACTCGTAGTTACACTTTGTTTAAAGACCCTGTAGTAGTTTTTCTCCCCAGTGTCACTCCTAACAGTCTCCAGAGAGTAACTATTTATTCGTATGCAGATTCTTGCCTAGTCCTGGAGAGTTGAACCATCCCAATCCCTCTTTTTGTTCTGTTTCTATGCTCCACTCCATTCTCACATCAACTCCTTTACTCATCTTTTCCTTTCCTTCCTCTTTAACCTTCTCATTACCTATCTCATCTCTTTGTCCCTCCTCTCACTCATCTCTTTCCCTATTCCATTCCCTCCTATGCATTTTCCTGATTCATTTCCCTTATTCCCTATTCCATTCACTTCTTCCCTCCCTCTCTGCCTAATCTCTTCCATCTTTATTCCCTCCCTCACTATTCCCTCCTCTCCCTATTCCCTCTTCACTA